GCAGGAATGAGCCCGTGGGATGGACACACACATTCAGAGTGCAGAGGTGGCTCTACACACCTCTAGACTCTGGTAAGTCAGCGAAGAGTAAGAGTTTATACTAGCAGCTCCAAAAAAAGATGGTTCTACTATCATTATTTGACAGATTGCACCTGCAAAAAAGCAATCTTTGCAGAGATAGAACTAGTACAACCTTTGTGTACTCTACTTAATACAGGTACGACTGGAGAAATAAACGGTATGCTCCTTTTTGAACAAGGTTATGTTTATTTTTTTAAACACAAAGTAGCTTTAAGCAGCACCACTGTTCTGTTGCCTTGTCTTTTACGATCAATGAGGTACAGCCTTTTTTTTTCCCCTGCTAGGTGGGTTTGTTTGTTTTTTCCCCCAGAACCACAAACTCCATTCTTCCAAGTTTAACAAGAAGTAAACAGGCAGATTGGTGCTATTTTCAAAGCATAACTTTACTGAAAATATTCTTGACCAATTAGGTGACAGGTTTTCCCAAAATCTAAGGAATAGATTGCTGTTATGCATAGTCTTGCCATACTCTTTTTCATTCACAAGACTTGGCCAGTGATTAAGTTTTGAGGTGAATTATTCTGTCTTCTTGGCTACTCCACCACCATTTTTGGAGATGGCATTTCAGCTTTATCCCTTTTCCCAAAGTTTTTTCTTCACCATGCTTTCTTCAGTATCCAAACACAAAAACAACTGCAAGTTAACAGAAGGAACCTCTGGACTAGTTTGAAACCTGCTTATTAACACAAAATCTTTAGGAGCTGTGTATAAAGAAGGAAGAAGTGCATAAAATGCCAAGGAAAACATCTGCTTTCAGAAGCACATACATTTCAGTCTGTTAAACTCGATACAGATAAACCAACCTTTTCCAGTGGAATATCATCTGATTTTGTGAAGTTGCATTAGCCGAGCACCACACTCTTTTAACACAGTGACAAAATATTTATATAAGGTCATACCAAAATGAAGCAGGTATCAGTGCATGCGCAGCTCTGGAAATCCAGTCTAAGCACACCCAGGAAAATATCAGAAGAGACATTTTATTGACAGCCTGCATCAGGCCCAGCTTGTGATGTAGCCACGGTTTTTGTACCTTTAGTGGTGGTGCCTGAGCTGAGAAAGAGACAGATGGCGATTCACATTGCACTGGGTCCAGCTCCTCATGCTCCAGCTATGGAACAGCTGTCGTCTTATTGATCTCTGCTGCCGGTCCCTGCAATGCCAGTGCCACCATCAGCATTAGACGCTCTCCACAGAGCTTCACCAGCTCAGAGTGCTTTAGCCAGCCTAGTATGAGGGCAACTGAGCTCTCAGCATTCAAGTGGTCAGGCTACCTACCTTACCCTTGTCAGGAGCTGTTCTCCACAAGAGCAACTACAGTTATCAATAAAGTTGGACTTTTGCTTGCACTGTTAGATGACAACAGTTAGGATCAGTCTTGTTTTCACCTCTAAAGACATCATTATTATAGGGAAATTTCAGATTTAGAATTGCAGATGGAAACCATCTAGCTCTGTCTCACAGAAGTAAACAATCATTTAATCATTAACCTTGGAGCTACAGACAGAGCTACAACCTGATACTGAAGTCTTGGTGGTTCTGTGTCAGTGTATCTAGGTCAGTGCAACAACTTATTCCTTAAAAAATACTTCTCCAGCTGAAACGGTTTGATATTCAAGTTCTGATAAATTGTTTCACTTCTGATTTAACTGAAGAGTAATCTGCTTCCAACAAGTTCCCATAAACATTCGAGTTCTTCAGGCTGTAAGCAATGAATTGTGAGTTTAAATAGTAGTATTGAGGTCACTCCTCTTTTACTTTTTTTTTAAAAAGGAAGGCAACAAGCTATTTGCAGACACTTCTGTTGTCTTTCCATGCTATTAAAAATCCCACTAAGCACAAGAGCATGGTTTAAAAGTTAACTCCTTCACTGTCTGTTACTAGCACAAAGTTCACATGCCTATTCCGAAATATCAAAAAGCTTATCTGTGTGCAACACCAGTTCCATTCCTTTCTGTACTCTCAGCTTTCATGAAATAGGTTAGACTAGTAACATGCACCAAACCACTATTTCTTTTTCTTTTTTTTTTTCTTTTTGAAAGCCTGAAGTCTTGAACTGTATCAGTGCAGTCTGTAACCAAGGGCTCTCTGTCCATCCTGAAGACATCTCAGTACAATACACAAAATACTTTCTTTGTTTGGTGCTGGATGCTTTTAATGTAATGCCCAACAACAGTGGCACTTTTGTGGGGTAGGAAAGGGTCACGCCACTGTATGTCCAGCTAATAAATTATCATCTCAGCGATGTGCTATTGCAGCTGCAAGTAAATCCTGAAAACAGCACATTGCAATCAAGACATAGAACAAATACAGACACCTCAACGATATGTAGGGCTACCTGCCTTTAACATTAGAAGAGTAAATTAAAAAGACAGCATACCTTAGCTCTGAGTTCTCCTGAACTGAGAGAGAAACAAGACAGACTTCACAACACTGCAGTGTAATTTAGTTGAATTTTTACTT